GCAATTGACATTGAGATGTTTTCACATGCATTTCTAATCTCTATATACATGACTATCACTGGTCATAGTCGCCCACCTTCTGAGCTCCTCGGCATCTGAGCATGAATACAAACTCGTCAGATAGACAGCCTTCCTCTCCCACTAGAGGCTCCATACTCTGCCATCCCTGTCACTGTCCACTGTGTAGGAAAAATTTTTTAATCCAGCTTTGTGTCTCAGGCACCATGGCTGGGCTGTAGATCAGGTTTACAGTGTGTGTGCACCCTAATAACCCTTACCCCTGAAACCCTTGGAACTCTTCTCAGATGTTTTCAAATGTATAAAACATATCAGGTGTGGTTGTGCACACCTATAATCCCAGCACTTAGGAGGCAGAGGCAAGCCTGCTCTGCATAGTGAGTTCTAGGCCAGCTGGGGCTACAGAGAGACCCTGTCTCAAAAGGACCAAAAAATGTATAAAATGTAAAGAACCAAAGAAAGAAACACATATTAAGCTATGATTATAAAATATTTTAAAACTTGAAATATATGTGCTGCTTAACATAGTCAATGTAAGATCTAGCAGAAGGTCTAATTTAAAGGTACTTTTAAGGGGCTGGAGAGATGGCTCACTGGTTAAAAGCACTGGTTGCTTTTGCAGAAGACCTAGGTTCAAATCCTAGCACCCACGTCGTGGCTAACAACCATCTATAACTCCAGTTCCAGGGTGTCTGACACCCTTCTGACCTCCATGGGCATTGCATGACACAGCTGCACTTGCATACATGCAGGCATAACACTCATACACATAAAATTAAAAAATGAAAGAATTTAAAAGTACTTTTAAATGCATATAGTATTTCATGATGCCTATATCAACTTTGACATGTATAATGCTTGATTTCTCTTAGGAGAAATGAAATTATAGATATTGCTAGTATAACTTTGAGTTTATGGTCATATCCATGAAGAGATGAAATGACTGAGTAAGAAGGTTGTGAAAATAAAGAGGTAATTTATTTCCCAATTCAAACTCATGGCTTTCTGGGCTGCAAGCAAATAATACCTGCTTTTCAAAGAGAGCCAGATACACATATGAATGTGTTTCCAGCTTCTTAGAAGACTACAGTAGGAGGATTATTGAAGCCTCATGGGTTCATGTCCAACCTGGAAATATAATGAGACCTCCTCTCCTCAAACAATAAACAAAACACACACACACAATCATCTTCAAAAATAAACTGAAGCTGGGAGTGGTGGCTCACACCTTTAATTCCAGCACTTGGGAAGCAGAAGCAGATCTCTGTGAGTTCAAGGCCAGCCTGATCTACATAGTGAGTTCTAGGACAGCTGGGGCTACAGGGATACCCTGTCTCAAAATCAAAACAACAACAACAACAACAAAAACTGAACAACAAAAAAAGTAAATGGAAAAAAACTAGCAAGTATGCTAAGCACCACATCTATGGAAGTGTGTGCAAATCAGCATGTGAGTGGTAGCCTCATGAGTACCTTTTAAAAAAATGTTTATTTGGGGACTGGCGAGATTGGCTCAGTGGTTAAGAGCACTGATTGCTCTTGCAAAGGACCCAGGTTTGGTTCTCAGGACCTACATGGTGGCTAACAACCATTTGTAACTCCAGTTCTAGGGGATCCGATGCCCTCTTCTGATCTCCGCAGGCATTGCATGACATTGGTGCACTTACATACAATGCAGGCAGTACACTCATACACATAAAATACGTAATTTTAAATGTTTATTATTGGTGTGTGTGTGTGTGTGTGTGTGTGTGCATGTGTGCATGTGGGCAGGTGCATGCATACCATGGAGGGCATGTATGGTCAGGGGAAAACTTTAGGGAATTAGTTCTCTCTTCACACTATGGGATTGAACTCAGGTCATCAGGCTTGCATGGCAAGTGATTTTACCTGCTGAACCATCTCACTGGCCCTCTTGTGAGTACATTAAATTAACATTTGCATTTGAGCAATTATAGGTAGTCAGATACTAATAGCATCTTCAATATTTGTGTAACAAATATTCCCAATATCCTCTAGCAGAGTCACCTGAAGACTGAGAAAAGATGCATTGTTCTAAATATGTTGTTCTTGTGCATGTGGGAGGGTGTGGTGCATGTAAGTGTATGTGTTTATTTGTGTGGGGGGAGCACACGCATGTGGAGGCCAGAGGTTGGTATAAGGTGTCTCCTTTTATCACTCTCCACCTTCTTTTTTGAGACAGGTTCTCTCACTAAGCCTGGAACTCACCGATTTGGCTAGACTGGCTGGCCAGGGATTGTCGTGTCTCTGCCTCCCTAGTGCTGGGATTAGAGGTGTGCACTGCCACATTGGGGCTTGAACTCAGGTCCCTATGCTTGCACAGGAGCCATCTCCCTAGCTCCCTCAGCTGATATTCAAGGTTCCTAAAGTTAAACCTGAACTTGAGGCATTGAGGAATGGCTTCTTGCTTACAGCTGACTAAACAGTTACTGTTCTCACTTCCTAAATCAGAATCACTGAAATGATTTTCAAAAAAATATCATATA